AAAAAAAGCAAGAAAAAAAAAAAAACGCAAAAGCTACCAACCAAGCCCAGCCGAGCTTTTGGATCTCAGTGCAGGTATTTCTGCTGCCGTGTTCATCCCTTGCCCCCTCCCCCCCATTTTTTTTTTTTTTGAAAAAAAGGAAAGAAAAAAAAAGAAAGAGAAGGAGAAGAGAAGCCGAACTCTCCAAGGGTTACTATGCAATTGCGACTGATTTCTTGGTTTTTTATCACTTTGAACTTTATGGAATACATTGGCAGCCAGCACGCCTCCAGGGTCCGGCGACAGGGAAGAAGTAAGTGCGAAGAGATTTATACTTTGATAACTTCTGCTTCCTCTTGTTGTGCTGCTCACCTGTTCGGGAGCTCCTTGTGCCCCTGGTGCCTTTGCTAGTGAGGTAGGAGGCAAGTCCCACGCCTGCACGGAGTGGGAACGGATTTGCCGGGAGTTTCATTAAGCTGGAGGATGAAGGCAATTTTTGATATTTTTCTGCTTTTCCCTCTCAACTCACCGGGATGAGCGGACACGGTTCCGGGAAGACTTGCGTGTGGTGCCTTTAATTTTATGTCTTTTAAGGGGGAGCAACCCTTCTTGGCGCTTTCCACTTTCTAAGGGTAAAGCCCGATGACAGCACAGGTAACTTTTTGCCGTGGTACCTTAACGCCTTTCTCCACCCCCAGTTACCATTTAGCGATTTGGGGGAGGATGGAGAGAGAACATCCCTCCCCCTCGCCCCCGAGGTTTATTCCTCGCTATAGATTAATGCTATAGATTAATTGCACCGCCGAGCGATGCCCAGAGGTGGGTCGGGGGGTCGCGGCACTGCCGGGTCCAGCCTCTGCTCGCGCCGAGTCGCCACGGTGGCCCCGTCCGGGAAGCCCCCGAGTTGCCGGCACTGCCAGGGGGCTGCAGACTCTGATTCTTTCCTTCTGTAGGAGCCCCGGGGTTGAAGGGAGCACTTCTCTCCTGACTTAGGGCAGCCTCGGCAGGCAGGAGGGAGCGGGAGCCCCGCAGGACGGGGCGGGAGGAGTCCCCGGGGCGCTGCCCCGGCACAGGCGATGCGGGAGGCGAGCGGCGAACGACGAGGAGAATCCTGCGGGACCGTCCCCCTGGCCTCGGGCTTCGGCCAGGGAGGAAGGCAGCGCACGGAGCCCCTTGCAAAGCAGTTTGCAGAGAGCTCGCTGCCCAGGTGTGGGGCAGAGGCGCGACATGCGTGTGGGGCTGGTTCCCGATGCAGGCGATGGTTTCACGCGGAGGTCACTGTGGGGTGGCCGCCGGGGAGCTCCGCACGGGTCCGCGGGGACAGAGCCCGTCGCGGGGTCCGACCGCGGGAGGCGACGGGCAGCAGCCCGGTGGCACCGGGACGTGCCCCTTGCTCCGGACTCTCCACCCGCCGCCTTTCCTGGGAAGGGGGGTGCCTCCCCCTTTCGAAACACCCAGTGTGTGGGAAGGGGCTGCTCAGCCCTGTCTTCCTTCCCTGACAGCTGCAGATACGGAGGAAATGTCATAAAACACGGCAGCCTGTGTTTAAACAGCAAGAAATGCATTTGATTATTTCCTCGGGTAGGGCGTACTCTCTATTCTCTTTTTTTTTTCTCTATGTATATGTATATATATGTGTGTGTGTATATATATATATATATATGTATTTGGTCCTCACTGCCTTCCCCTACATAGCATGGTTAGTCTTGAAGACACGATCTGCTTCACCTAAAGTGCCCCTAAAGCGGAGTGGAGTGCAAGAGACCGACCCGGGGGCTCCAGCCCTCCAACCCCCACGACTGCGCGGCGAGGCGGCACTGAGGGCTAAGTAAAACATGTCAGGGCATCCGATTTATTATCCTTGGCAAGGAACAGCTTAGCAGGCTCCATCACTTCCCACCCACTTCTTTCAGCCCTGGCAGTCTCGGGTCCCGAAATTGTGGCTGCCCCGCGTCCCCGCACACCGCACCACTTGCCCCCCGAGGGGACACCCCGCGACCCCCTCCAGGTGGACGGGCTCGGCCGTGGAGCAGGGAGTCGG